AGTATCAGAACAATGTAAATAGTTTTTTTATTTTATAAGAACGTCAGTATATTTACTCAGTGTAAACATAACGATCCCGGCCAGTAATTGTAATGTGCTGTGTCAAATGTGCCATTAAGATTTGAAATAGGACATGTGTATGATGTTCACAGTAACCTAATAAACAGTGTTAAATGTCTCTGAGGTACACGTACACAGTACATATGATTAGAGCCATTTTTGTCCATAAATCAAGAAATTAGCAATATCTTCTAAAAACCTTTATAGATGATTATACCTTTTTTCAATGGCAAGTTTGGGTCATATAGGGTTAGCTGATTGAAAGTTAAGGCTAATATGTGTCAAGACTGATTAAAGTGAGTTCTGCGTTTTATGTTATATTTTTAGGGTAACAACAATGTAAGCATAATTCGTTTAAAAAATCCCCGAATGCTTGCCTGAGTATTGCACTCTCAGTGGTGAGGAATCGAGTGATTTCCTATGGGCAAGCGGGTGTTTTATTATGATAACAGCAGCAATCAATGACAACGTCCAATAGAATTCTTCATAGCACTAATAGGGGCGGTGGGGTGGCCTAGTGGTTAAAGCGTTCGCTCGTCACGCCGAAGACCTGGGTTCGATTCTCTACATGGGTACAATGTGTGAAGCCCATTTCTGGTGTCCCCCGCCGTGATATTGCTGGAATATTGCTAAAAGCGGCGTTAAACCATACTCACGCACTCACTCACTCACAACACAAATAGAATTATGTAATATCTATTTCATATTAGGAGCTATTGAGATATATAATTTAATATTTTTAACGATATTTAATCAACCAGTAGCTCGTGTTTAACATCGATCCTGTGTCGGTACACCATACTGTGTGATATCGCATAGATAGTTAGATGGATCACGCATATTATAATCAGCTGTTACCTTTATGGTACATGTAGTTACCTATGTCGCAAACATCTAATATGTAGTTACCTATGTCACGTATATCACCTATGTCACGTGAGGACCACTACATTGTGGGGACTAGGGACACGGGATAGCGTGAGGACTACTACATTGTGGGGACTAGGGGTCAGGGATAGCGTGAGGACTACTACATTGTGGGGACTAGGGGTCAGGGATAGCGTGAGGACTACTACATTGTGGGGACTAGGGGTCAGGGATAGCGTGAGGACTACTACTTTGTGGGGACTAGGGGTCAGGGATAGCGTGAGGACTACTACATTGTGGGGACAAGGGGTCAGGGATAGCGTGACGACCACTACATTGTTGGGACTAGGGACACGGGATAGCGTGAGGAATTTTGGACCCGGAATAGAGGGGACTAGTATGTCTGGTAATTTTAACAACCTCTAACTTGTTTTTCTCAGTTGGCTGTGAGAAGGTATTTGAGCTGTTGAAATAGTTAGATTGATAATAGCCTCGACTTACCTATTACCTATATGAAATGTGATGAACATATCAGAGAAAAGATGTCACAAGCGGACGTTCAGCGTCAATTGTCCTCCTATCGTATACTCCGTTAATGGCTTCTGTATATGATGAATGAGCTAATAAGACTTACAAATGATGGTACCTGTCATTACCACGATAGAGGATATCCAGTTTGACATTTTCTTTCCATTCCTACAGTAAAGCCGTGTAGTTTAAGGCCATGCGTCACCAGTGTCACGTTACAACAAAGTCTGGGCGTACTATAGCACATACATTTACCGAAACAATATACTGTGATGGTCCACGCGTTATACCGTGTCCCCTAGTCCCCACAATGTAGTAGTCCTCACGCTATACCGTGTCCCCTAGTCCCAACAATGTAGTGGTCCTCACGCTATCCCGTGTCCCCTAGTCCCAACAATGTAGTGGTCCTCACGCTATACCGTGTCCGCTAGTCCCAACAATGTGGTGGTCATCCCTGTCCCCCTATACAATGTAGTGTCCCTGTGTCCCTAGTCCCCACAATGTAGTGGTCCTCACGCTATACCGTGTCCCCTAGTCCCAACAATGTAGTGGTCCTCACGCTATCTATACCGTGTCCCCTAGTCCCCACAATGTAGTGGTCTCCCTATAGTCCCCTAGTCCCAACAATGTGGTGGTCCTCACGCTATCCCGTGTCCCCTAGTCCCCACAATGTAGTGGTCCTCATGCTATACCGTGTCCCCTAGTCCCAACAATGTGGTGGTCCTCATGCTATACCGTGTCCCCTAGTCCCCACAATGTAGTGGTCCTCATGCTATACCGTGTCCCCTAGTCCCAACAATGTGGTGGTCCTCACGCTATCCCGTGTCCCCTAGTCCCCACAATGTAGTGGTCCTCACGCTATCCCGTGTCCCCTAGTCCCCACAATGTAGTGGTCCTCACGCTATCCCGTGTCCCCTAGTCCCCACAATGTAGTGGTCCTCATGCTATCCCGTGTCCCCTAGTCCCCACAATGTAGTGGTCCTCATGCTATACCGTGTCCCCTAGTCCCAACAAGGTGGTGGTCCTCACGCTATCCCGTGTCCCCTAGTCCCAACAATGTGGTGGTCCTCATGCTATCCCGTGTCCCCTAGTCCCAACAATGTGGTGGTCCTCACGCTATCCCGTGTCCCCTAGTCCCAACAATGTGGTGGTCCTCATGCTATCCCGTGTCCCCTAGTCCCAACAATGTGGTGGTCCTCATGCTATCCCGTGTCCCCTAGTCCCAACTGTGGTGGTCCTCATGCTATACCGTGTCCCCTAGTCCCAACAATGTGGTGGTATCCTCACGCTATCCCGTGTCCCCTAGTCCCCAACAATCCCGTGTCCCCTAGTGGTGGTCCTCACGCTATACCGTGTCCCCTAGTCCCAACAATGTGGTGGTGGTCCTCACGTGTCCCCTATCCCCAAGGGTGGTGGTGTCCCCTAGTCCCCTAGTCCAAACAAGGTGGTGGTCCTCATGCTATCCCGTGTCCCCTAGTCCCAACAATGTGGTGGTCCTCATGCTATACCGTGTCCCCTAGTCCCCACAATGTGGTGGTCCTCACGCTATCCCGTGTCCCCTAGTCCCAACAAGGTGGTGGTCCTCATGCTATACCGTGTCCCCTAGTCCCAACAATGTGGTGGTCCTCACGCTATCCCGTGTCCCCTAGTCCCAACAAGGTGGTGGTCCTCATGCTATACCGTGTCCCCTAGTCCCAACAATGTGGTGGTCCTCACGCTATCCCGTGTCCCCTAGTCCCAACAATGTGGTGGTCCTCACGCTATCCCGTGTCCCCTAGTCCCAACAATGTGGTGGTCCTCACGCTATCCCGTGTCCCCTAGTCCCAACAAGATGGTGGTCCTCACGCTATCCCGTGTCCCCTAGTCCCAACAATGTGGTGGTCCTCACGCTATCCCGTGTCCCCTAGTCCCAACAAACAGGTGGTCCTCATGCTATCCCGTGTCCCCTAGTCCCAACAATGTGGTGGTCCTCATGCTATACCGTGTCCCCTAGTCCCAACAAGGTGGTGGTCCTCATGCTATACCGTGTCCCCTAGTCCCCTCACGCTAAGTCCCAACAAGGTGGTGGTCCTCATGCTATACCGTGTCCCCTAGTCCCAACAATGTGGTGGTCCTCAAGCTATCCCGTGTCCCCTAGTCCCAACAAGGTGGTGGTCCTCATGCTATACCGTGTCCCCTAGTCCCAACAAGGTGGTGGTCCTCATGCTATACCGTGTCCCCTAGTCCCAACAATGTGGTGGTCCTCATGCTATATCGTGTCCCCTAGTCCCAACAATGTGGTGGTCCTCACGCTATACCGTGTCCCCTAGTCCCAACAATGTAGTGGTCCTCACGTTATCCCGTGTCCCCTAGTCCCAACAAGGTGGTGGTCCTCACGCTATCCCGTGTCCCATAGTCCCAACAATGTGGTGGTCCTCAAGCTATCCCGTGGCCCCAATTTCCCTTACTCTACCTGCAACTCCGTACACCGATGTCCACGGTAAGAAACACCTCACTGGTTGTTCCAGGTGGCATTTGTCACCAATAGTGTTGACCATAAATATGTACACATCTCTGTCTTCAAAGAAGCTGACGGAGCTAAGCCCATATTTCTTGCTGCACTTCTCCATTCCCATCTGGAATATGTGACAGAACATTTAAGCACCCCATGGGCTCCAGTTACAGACTGTAAGGGTTGTTTCATATTTAGTTCTATAAATACAAAGTGTTACAATGCTGTCGACAAGACGTGTGTGACAATAAGGATGAGATCAACGTCCTAAAACTAAAGTAAAAACGTTTGGTCAGGGGTACAACATCCAAAACATCAGCAAAACTTCAGTTTTCAATTCAGAGGATCTTACACAATTTGAGGCGTCAGTGTTAAAACCGGTGCCCGGTGCAATTCCCTATTTTGAATTTACCCTTTGTCACAAAGGCAGTGATGGCGTCATAATCTGGACTGGCGGAAATACTATTTCAGGAACACTGGTAATGAAAATAGCTACATCAAAGTCGGAGAAATAGTTCCCTTTCCTAATCATCCCTGGGACAAGTGACAGAAGTTGATTAGAGAATGCGTCATTACATTATGGTATATTTGGCTTGAGGACGTAACTGGTGACAATGTTATCAGAGGTCTGGTGTCCGTGAGAAACCAGGGATATGATAGGGTCTTAAACCATCATGGACGAAGACTTCCACAAACACCTGGTGTCATCATTGTAACTTTACAGTTTTTTAATGTAGACGTCTGTGAAATGTGTTTGAACTAGGATATGTTTAAATTATTAATTTTAATTGTAATGGGCGATTGGGGAAGGTCAGTGGTTGAAACATTTTTACTTTACGACTAAGGCCCTGATGCGATTCCCCACATAGGTACATTGGTGAAGCCCATGTCTGGTGTTCAAGTATTGTTTGAATTTTGGTAAAGGCGGCTTAGGACAAGACTCACTAAATATCCCACATGGTGGCACAGAGAAACTAATGTGAATCCATTTCTAACGTTTTGACAAACCTTTTTCCTTGAACATAAATAAATTTAAATATCTTTCCAATTGTAGGACTGAAGAAGAAGGATGGGGTGAAAAGGAGGAAGCTCGGCCGCAACCCACGTGTTCCTTTCACTCAACATCAGGTGGCAGTTTTAGAGGAGAAGTTTCGCCGAACTCACTACCTCAGTAGCATGGATGTTGCCGAACTGTCGACAGCGCTCAACCTATCAGACAACCGGGTAAGAATCAATTTTGTCCCAACCATTTCTTACAATAATGGAACTCTTCTTCACATATTTACACCTTTGTATCGTGGTGTTGCTTAGGTCAGGTCATCTATACCAGCAAGGTCAATAGACATTGTTCAGTGGTATACATTGCGTGAGCAATTTTCAAATGGAAATAACGTCTATTATAAATAAAGATCGGGATGTGGGCTCTTTTTTTGCATAAATGATATCTTCTGAGTCGACCAATTGGAGTGCGCGCGTGAGTTTGGGGTTGACACTCAATAATATTTAGGTGACTTCTTTGAGAGGCATTTTAGAAGTTGTATAGGGGAAGGACCAAGTTCTATGGATAGTCAACTTCTTTATTGTATTGAGTGCGACGTTTCGGTGTATGCACTAACACCGTTATCAAGCAAGTACTATACCTATACAACTTCTAAAATGCCTCTCAAAGAAGTTATCCGCCAACCACATGGAGACGTGGCAATTAAGTCACTTGCTTGATAACGGCGTTAGTACCTACACCGAAACGCCGCACTCATTGCAATAACGAATATTTAGGTGATACAGCCTGTTAGTTTGATCACGGAAAGGGGAAACTCTGAGTAAAGATGCACCATCTTGGTGAAACCAAGGATGAGAATCAGGGCTGATCTTCACAAGATCCTGGCACGGGGGTGCTACTCTACACTGGGAAATACAAAACTGCCGCGTTCCCTGTTAGTTCGAGAGACAACACTTACTCGCCTAGCTGGAAACGACATGTCATTTCCTCGGCGTGGCACCACAAGAGTCCAATTGTTCAACATAAGGCTAAACCCAGGCTCCGTTCCACGAAACGATCATATTACCTCGACGATCGTAACTACCATACATGATCGACCTCCTCTGTGTGTTGGGGTGGGTTTGGGGTATGGTGGGTTTGGGGTAGGGTTGGTTTGGGGTTGGGTTGGTTTGGGGTAGGGAGGCTTTGGGGTAGGTTGGGTTTGGGGTAGGGAGGTAACTTTGTGTTTCTCCGTACATGCTCCGTCAACTCCTCTGTGGTTGCCTCTCTGTGGTTTCGTTGGCGGGAGAGAGTGAAGCAGACGACTTTTTGGCAACTTTTAATTGCTCGGTATTAATTAACCACAAGTTTTTAAGAATGAATTTGGTGTTCCGCTTAAGACTAACCACACGTCTCTCATATGTAATGGTTAAAGGTGTACAAAACACAAAAGTTAATTCATTCTTTAAGGCATATGAATGTTTTGTTTTTGTTTTCTAAATTATAAACTTACACAACTGCACTCTCTCACAAGTTTAAAGTACACCTTATGATCACGTTCCTTAAAAGATGCGTAATATAAACACAAACCTCGTCTATTGTCAGATACAATGTACATGAATTAAATGCTATGTAAACAGCTTTTTGAGAAAGTTTGGAACTTTTTAACGAAATCTGATACGTCATATTTCTGGGGGCTCTGCGACTATCATGAAGCCGTCTATTATGATGCCACAGATTAGTTTATACATATAATAATATTTTACCTCCGAGGTATCTCGGAATAAAGAGTTGACATTTCCAAAATAATAAATTTTCGACAAATTGATGAGCTGTCAAACGTAACTGTTTTTCACTTCGGTATTAATGTTTAATCTAGTTGACAATATTGCTTCTCCGTTTGTCTGCTATTGTCTGTATTTCTTGCCGTCGTTACTGTCAGCTGAAGAGCACAGTAATATGACAATATACATGATTTGAGAATTCATTTAGTGCACTGATTACAGGAAATACGATCCGACTACTATAAAGGCATATAGCTGCCATGAAAGATTAGAAGAAAAGAAATCAAAGCAATATGGCGAATTAACTCTACGGAGCTAGTCTGTGCTATATTAACTTGACTTGTAAGGCTTACTCTTCATAAGCATTCGTCACAAACTAATTGTCTACTCTCTGAATCGCTGAAAGGTTATATGTAATTCTCTTGCAAGACATTCCGCTTAAGGGTTTGTCAACGTTGTGCGAAAGAAGTCGTCACCATAGGCAGCCAGTCTGCTGTATACTGAGGGCAATAATCTTTAATAAATCGTGAGCGTATTCGACGGACTCAGGAATATATGATATTTTAAAACTTCACCACCGGGCAAAAAGAGTACGCACTTGAAAACTGGACTTGTCTAAACAATTACAAACGTTATGAAAACGTTTTTGAGTGAAAACGGTAACCGAACACAACAAACTTGAAAAAACCCTAAAAAAACTATGACACTCGTGTTAAACAGATCACCATCAAATCACCATTTTTTTTATTGCTTTGATCTTCGCCACCATCAAACACTGGTGTATGCGTTCTTTTGTCCAGCTTTTTATAATAGTAGACTACTACATGTTACTGTAGAATTCCAGCTACAACTATGTTTTAGGTGGATGTTTCTATTTGTTATAGAAATGCTTTATTAATACATAGCAGACACTTTTCCTCAAGTATAAATATAACCAAACTAGAAAATACAAGACTTTTACCTGACGAGTTACGTGTATGTAATATATTTTCGTCTTAAATTAAATTTTTCAAAACCCTGTGTGTCGTGGGAACATCTGTTTCTTTAACAGTCGATGTCGCGATATAAACACATGAATTTATGCCAGGGGCTTATCGTTGATAGCATGCAACATCCTGGACATGCGTCAGTGTTTAGAGCACTTGGGAAAGACGCTGTTGGGAGTTTAAACGGGCGGCGTCCACCCTGACGACGAGAGGGGCGTAGGCAGAAAAGTATAGCTTGCTGTCCGGTAGGCGTGTCGGTCAAGCCAGCTTGTCGTCTTCTGGTTGTGGAAACTAAAGAGACATGCCCCGGGTGGATAGTTGACATTTATCGGCGTGTAATGACTGGTTGGTGATCGGTGCTGACAAATATAATCTTTCTGATTGATGACAGAGCTGACTTCTGCTACTGTTTCATCAACACACGTGCGACCGCTTCCCTATGATATATCATTAAACCAAAATACTTAACATATTTTTCAAGAAGTTATTTTAGTTATCAATGTTTTATAATGTTTTTTTCCATTAAAACAATTGGAAATACATAGGATATTAATGGCACGATTTTTACCAATATCCAGATATGTTTGACACAGAGTAATTTTCAGTCTACGCTCTGATGCATACACGCTTTCGATAGGATTGCCAATCCAACATGGAGGACTTGATGCGTATATCTAACTATGATAAGGTCAAAGGAAAATATATTTAAAAACTTAAAAGTTGTCCTCCAATCCCTCCGTCACCAATCTAAATACAATGTGCCCGAGAAACATCCCGTGTCTGTTTTGTAGACAGACAGACAGACAGACAGACAGATAGATAGTTAATTTTGGTTTCACCTGTACAATACAACATAAAAACACAATAAGATACATAAATACTTTGCCGAGCCCCCCTTCCCCATTTAGGGTTACGAGAGACACACAAAGAATTTAAGAACATTATGTGCTATAAAATACATAACATGATTTACATATCGTTGTATAAAATACCCCTTCTTCTATCTAAAATAAATGTGCAGGTTTTGGCCGATAAAAATACAATATCTGGGTTGGACAATAAGACTTTATCACAGGCGTATTCTTAGAAGTTCAACCAGTGAGGTTGTGTTGTGTGTGTAAGGTGACGATTTAAGGAGGTTATTTATACTACCCATCAAAAGTTTAGTCTCACTTAAAGCACTCACTATGTGTATGTATGGTTACGTCAAAGATTAATTTCTCCACTAACTTGGGGGAACCAATTGCAAACTTTATGCAGATGAATTGCACTAGGATCTTTCATCATATTGCTAAAAAGTATGTGCAGATATCGTGCATGTGAACAGCTGCGTTTTGGTGTAAAGATTTGTGAAACATTCGCCAATTTTCACTGAGTTTCATCATACATTGAACTCATGAGAATAATCTTTTCAACGTGTCGAATTTGTTGTATAATAGATCAGTTCTTGTGTAACACAGTACCTTTAAACAGTACGGAATAGTTTGCAATATCTAGTATAGAACAGATGACTTAAGTAAGTGGCTACATTTACACTAGCGAGTCTAAACTTTTGATGGGTAGTACATAAACCATCAGATCCAAATTACCACGATTTAAACTACAATAATCATATCCCTCTTACGACAAACATAGGATACACGTTTGAACAATTTAGTCATATTAACAATATTTTGTAAGCATGGCAAATCGGTCGTTACTTGTGGGTTTGTTGATGCATTTATTGTTATTGTTTGTTTTGTAAATATGTGGATGAGACATTTAGATAAGACACGATCAGACTTCTCCAAGGAGAAATTGTCCTCGCTAATTTGTCTGATCAGTTTCTTTGTTGATACAATTAGGAGTTTCTGCTCGCTCGGCTTGCAAGATCTGAACAAGGGGATTTGGCTAAGGATGTTAAATAATCTTCAGGTATATCTGTGATCTGTTATGGTTCAACAATCGCAATTTATTTCCAAAGATGTACTCATCAGAATTAGAAGTAAACCAATGAAACGGCCTTATCGGTTTCATACTGGGATCATAAACAAGTGACGAAAACCCGACACACAAGACTGTATAAGAAGGATGACTACAACTTTCCTATGTCGAACAATATACCATGGTGAAGTCTCTGCTCTATGTTACATACGGGCATCATACTTGTGTTTTGGCCTTGTGCTTGTTTGTTGACATTTTGATAACCTTATGATAACGTTTGTAAATGTTTGTCAAATCCGAGTGTATAAGAGTTTTTTTTCTGTACGTACATGTAGACAGATACACGGTTAATTCTGTGGGTTAGCTTAGCAGTATTCAAAGGTCGCTGAAACAGAGGGTAGAAATCTTTTACTTGATCTAATAACATGTTTCTAACCCGCACCACCATACCTGCTACCCTTGGAGGATTCCCATTGTTTCATGCTTTGTGTCGGTGTTTGACTTTAGTTAGGACTCAACCTCCGACGGTCCCCACCCCTCAACTCACTTCAACAATCGTCCCCACCCTACGGCTCACTTCCATAACCGCCCCCACCCACGGCTCAGTTCATCCTTTGTTTTTCTCACCCCCACCCCACAATGAGAACAGTTTCTCTGGTCGGAACCCGCAGTGAGGGCAAATCGTAATTAGCTCTGTACGGCAAGAATCAAGTATCTAATATTGTCTTGTAGCAGACCGATACTTTCGCATCTCGTCATTATCTCCGGGCGAATCGCGCGGGTAACCTTACCTGTCCAGCAACTCGCGTGCGTTGTTGCTACAGTCCCATCTGTGCCGTGCATATTAAAGGCTGAACCAGTCGAGCCATTAACGACTTTCTAATCTCAGGTAGAATCGCCTCAAAACAAATCCCGGCTTTTGAAGCCAGTGTAACATTTAAACACCAGCTTCTGCTACACCTATCATTTGGACAGATTTGTTTAGGAAACTAATTTTGCGCACAGTTGATATCGACGCCGCTTACACCATTGTTTCACGAGTCGCAGGTGTAGAACCATTGTGTTTTTATCCTTTGCCATGCGGATTCAATCATATACTGTTCAGAAACAGGTAATGCATCAGTGTACTTGCTGAGGACAACGTATGCCCAACGCTACTGAGATGCCGTTTGAAACAGCTCTCTGTGATATTCATTACACAAAAGCTTCAACACCTTGTCCACACCCGTAACAAATCAGGCTACTAACAAGATACAATATAGGGTTTGGAGAACATCGCCGTTATGCCAACACCCGGACTACCAGAAATACCACAAATACGCCAAACCTACAGTACAGGATATACCAGACTAAATATAGCATACTCAGTATGCTATATTTGGGATTTACACTTTCTCAGTAAAATACAAATTCTTGTACTTTCGTTAAGTTGAGACCCATCCGGGATTCGAACCCACACTCTCAGAGTCAGACACCTAATCGCCAGCACACAAACCTGAAGTACTAGACATACTATTCTGAAAATACTTGATTAAATGTTACAATTTCTTCAAAAACAGTTATAAAAATCCCCGTAGCTATTCGAGTTGAATTGTCTAATATCAGTTTATTTACCACATTACATTCAGTTTTGATAATATTGTCAATGAAACAGGAGCAACGTTTTTCAAATACATGAAATGTTAGACTGACTACGTACCAATCTGCCAATTTACTTCATGTTTCAGATTATAATAAATAGGACAGCAAAGTATTCTTATATTCCATCAGGCAATCTCGTAAAAAGTATTCATGTAATTAAAAAAAATACATTTAAATGTTATTTACCAGTGATTATTGAGTACTAAAACATTATTGTTTAGATATGAACAGATCGTATTTGATCCGATGGGTTGGTGAGGATTTACATTTATGATTGGTCCAAGACTATATGAAATGACACATATTACCGTTAGACGCGACAAGCAACGTGAACTTGGAATACGCTCGATAGATATCAGTAACGAAACAGTCATCACTCATATTTAAGTAATATCTGAAATTGTTCATATACAGGCATGGACACTCATATTGACGTATATCCGGCATACGGGATTGCCGCGGGCAAATTTCATACTTGTTATAAAGCTAAGTCTATTATAGTGAAACTTTCAGATATCACCTCCCTGCTCAGGTTACATATTTTGACAATTTAATGAAATCTTGAGATCTAATATAAGCTATCGTATTTACCTAACATATTTCATTGACATTATATCATGGTAAAGGGAATTATGTTCTGAAATGAGGTATTCTGGAACGATATAGAGAGATAATTAAGCTTGGTTATAGGCACATATCCGTTTGTTCTTTTTAGGGTTAGAATGCCAGGAATAAAACACTGTGGGTTATGTTATTGGCTTTTATCTTGATTAGATTAAAAAGTTTAAAATAGCCCGTGGGTGTCTTCGTTGGTAAATAATATCGTGAATATGGAATTTTGAATTAATTAATATTTCAGACGTTAATATGATACCAGTAATGCTGAATATATAAATATTAAAATTACATAATTTTATCTGTGGTATGCCTCTCATAAGCACACGATATCGGTATTCTGTTACTTAGCTACATGTTGTATCCACGACCGACGTTCTGTTACTGGTGAGAGTTGGTAGGTAGGTGTGGGTTAGAGCTGTTACCTCCTTTGATATATGGGAGATAAGGCCACATTTACTCTCATGATTATGATGTAAACATTTAAAGAGCTCCTTAAAATCTCGCTAACTCATATTGAATTTTAAGTGAGTTTGGTTTAACGGTTTATTTCAAGGCTTCTCCGGCGTCACTTGGGTGAGAGGCCTGAGCCATTCGCCACATTTATGAACTACACTAGTACGGTATGGAAAGTTCTGACAAATCTGGAAACATAGTCCGGGCGAATAGCTTCTGGCACCGTTAATGGTTGCAACTCTGCACAGCATTTCCTACTCGTATCTCCAGAAGAATTCCGTGTGTAAGCACTATGCACCAGTAAGTCTCAGTGTCTTATTTAGATCTATTCAAATATGATTTTGATGGACTCAAGGACGTAAAGACATTTATCTTACCTCACACATAAATGTCGCTTTCTGATTGGCTGAGCGCTCTTCTATTATTTTCAATGTACCCCGCTGTGAATGGCAACTCATTCTCTACTTCGTGGTAGTAATTCTTTATCTCGAATAACATTGAATCACGTATGATGTACGGAAATTACCGATGTTTTGCGCATGCAAATCGATGGAAGGGAGATAACTCTAAATCTGTTCTTCTTGTCAGCAAAATATAGCGATGGCTACAAAAAGATTTGTACCCGTGCTTCAAACAATTCAAAATTAACATTAAGGCGTTCGGTAAGATAAATACGTTGTTCACTGGTCCCTCGGGGCGCATGTGTTGATGTACCCTCGATGTTTGTTTATGTCGGGCTCAGGGAACATAAACAAACATCGAGGGTACATCAACCCATGCCCCCCTCGTGACCAGTGAACAACTTATAATGTCCACCAATAAGCTTGTTAGTCCCTGTGCCCAGATCACTGTGTATTTAGATCATGTAACGAGTGTTGTGTCTGAATTTGTTCTAAAACAAGTTCTTTTTTTTGTCACAGGTGAAGATCTGGTTCCAGAACCGGCGTGCACGTGAACGTCGCGACAGAGAGGCAGCGCAGACGTCAGCACTTTTCCCGCCCAAACCATCCCAGCCTCTCATGGTGCCTTCAGTCACATGGCCCATCCCCTCAACAACCACTAACACAGCTTTCGCCCAACTCCGCACAGCCATCCAGCAGAGTCGAGGGAGCTTCCTCCCCTCAGCGTTCAGTCTCTACCTCCCTCGCCCCACGGGGCAGGACGGGGGCAAGTGTAACGTGGACACAACCGACGATCGTTCCGACAAGTACTGTAGTTGAAGTCAAGAGACTGAAGGGCAAGAGTCACACCCAACTTAGACTATTTCTTTCTGAAAAGAAAATACCTGTATCTGCGCCGCTGTAAAAATGAAAGGGTAGATGTACCCAGGCGTGTACATATGGACAAGGAGATTCAGACTGAATTGAACACGATGAAGACGATGACATGCTGAGAGCCTATCGGTTCACCGTGCACCGTGCTCTGGTACATGTCCATACAGGAGAAAACAGGAGACGGTGTCAAGATTGTAAACATTTGTAGGCCTCAGAGTATATCACTGTAGACCTGAGCCATGACTTGAGACTAGACGTCACTTCCGGCCGCCTTGTGTGTAAAAAGCTGTCCAGTAATCCGCGTTGGCATGGAAACGAGACCCGGTTCTACACCTGAACAGCGACTGGAGGTTTTGAATCCGACCAGAAGGACCACCATAGACCATCATGACTATGTATACGACAATCCATAATTAAAACTGGTGAATCTCGTGGAACGTGAGGTTGTTTCATCAAACATGATCTGATGTGATGATCTGCACGTGGTTAACGATTGATGTTAGTCATGAGGAACTGTCACTGTATTGTTTGTAAATAAAAACGTCATATTCAAATCCCGCTTGGCTGACTTTCTTTGTATAAAAGATTGATTGAGTTTACGCCGCTTTTAGCAATATTCCAGCAATATCACTGCGGGCGACACCAGAAATGGGCTTCACCTACTGTACCCATGTGAGGATTCGAACCCGGGTCTTCGGCGTGACGAATATCACTTTAACCACTAGGCTACCCCACCACCCCTTGTATAAAAGAAGTATACATCATTATATATAACCTTTCTGTTAGATCGGATCTGTAATGATTGGTCGGGTACTCGTGAGTGTGTCCCGACAGTGCACTATCGATTTACTTGTTCCTTTAGCCTAAAGCGTTCACTCGTCACACCCAAGATCTGGGTCCTATCCCCCCTCATGTTACACGAGGCCCATTTTGTACCATAGTATTGCTGAAATATTGCTTAAAGCGGCCTAAACCATACTTACTCACTCACTTACTTATTCTCACATGGGTACAATGTGAGAAGTCCCTTTTCTGGTGTCCCCCTCCGTTATATTGCTGGAATATTGCCAAAAGCGGCGTAAAATTAAACTCACTCACTCACCTATTTCTGCAATAATTATTCCCAAACACTAAGCAGTTTACAAACAAAAATTGGAACAGAATCCTTGCTTTGTACACTTCCAAACAAAACATGAAATGCACGTTTTCGTCATTAAAATACAATTTTCGTTCGACTGGGGTATAAATTCGATGCAGAAGGCAAGCACAGCATCATTGTCTCAAAACGACACCAGAAGAATGCCGAGATTGACAGCGCAGCAGCGAGAAAGAGCATTGGGAATGTTGGAGATGGGCGCCACTCACGACCACGTCGCTCAAACCCTCGGCTGTCACCGCGTAACAGTGTCCAGACTCGTCCAACGATATCGACAGACTGGCCAGACTACTGATAGACCCAGAACTGGCCGACCCAGGGTTACAACACCACGCGAGGACCGGTACCTGCGCACATTGCACTTGCGCAACCGTTTCCTGACGGTGACGTCATCGGCGGCGTTGGCGTTAGGTCGTCGTGTCAGTCGACACACAGTGACCAGGCGGCTTAGAGCTTTTGGCATCAGGGCTTACAGACCGTTCCGGGGACAGCGGCTGACCCAGGCACATCGACAGAGACGACTGGAGTGGGTACGGCGAGTACGACGATGGCAGCGACGTCAATGGCAGCGAGTGCTCTTTAGCGACGAGAGCAGATTTCTCTTATTGTACCGAAACGATGGCAGGGCACGGGTTTATCGTCGTACTGGAGAACGACAGGCCGCCTGTTGCGTTCAGGGAGGTCGTTCCCTATGGAATGGGAAGTGTGATGGTGTGGGGAGGCATTTGTGGAGAACAAAAGACGCCACTGGTCATCGTCAATGGCAACCTGACGGCCAGACGGTATATCGATGACATTCTTCGCCCCACAGTACTGCCATTTCTGCGCAATCGCCAACAGGGCATCCTGCTTCAGCATGACAATGCAAGACCCCATGTGGCAAGAATTACACAGAACTTCCTTCAAGCAAACAACGTTAATGTTCTTCCGTGGCCAGCATGCTCCCCTGACATGTCACCAATCGAGCACTTGTGGGACGCTCTTGATCGTCTTTTCTTTAGCAGAAGTTTATGTGTAAAAAAATGAAAATGAAATTGCTGAAGTGTCGTTAAAAGAATCCTCTGTAACATTGGTACCATATCGTTATTTATAATTGTTGACAATCATCAAATAACTTTTTATGTCAGTCGTCTCAATAAACTTTATTGCATGTTTCTAGTGTTTGTGGTTTCTTCACAGGGTAATTTTGAAAAGTTGGTAGCGTTTCTTTTTTGTACTTTGAGTTTATGTCCGTGCCTGTAATCGAATATTTGGACATATCATGTACATTCATTCAATGGTCAAACATTCAACTGGCAACATCTACGAAAATCAGCAATACATATCATTCATTTAATAGTCGATATTTTATGAGGATCATATTCGTTAAAAACTCAAAATCATAATTATTTAGAGTATTTTCGTGAGTTGTTATTTATTTTGCCAGTCCGGCTCTAGGCAACAAGTATACATAGAGAATCTCACCCAAGTGTCTACTGATATCAATTATATCACCACGAGTTGATAAAGTTACAAATATCTGAGGCTTGCCAAGGATATTTTCGCTTTTATCAACGACTGTTGATATATTTGATATCAGTAGACACAAGGGTGAGATTCTATTTATCATCAAAAATCACTCTTCATTAGTTTTCAATGAAACATGTACATCTCTGAACACTGTACTACCATTAGACATGCAGTGCAGCGATGTCATAGCATTGTGGCGTCATCAAGTTAATGACGTCATAGCATTGTCAGGGCATTGCACAAAATCTACTGTCGAAACGTGTGTATGATCTCACACAAGCAATATCTCCTGTGGAACACAGTTTTGGATGATAAATATATTTTCATGAAACCTGTGTCAGTACCGGGTGCGTGTAGCTCAGGACACGTTTACCCTTTTCTTCTGGCGTCATTATGTTCAGGCATCCATTTATATAATTTTCATTTTACCTCCAATGGAATATGTTTCATAGGATAATTGCGATTTTTTCTATTTATCTGCAGAGTGTTCTGTAATGTGTACATTTTGCATACTTCTATATTCCTTAAAGGAAGCAATCCAAGCCGTAAATATGCAAGCAGTTTTATTATGGCAATATAATATATCAAAAGGACGTATTGTGGTGTCGTGTAACGACCAATAACTAAACGTCATGATTCCTATTCAAACAAATACGAAAATATTTTACAAAATGATAAAATGATCATGAAAACATTGTATTCGTTTGGCAATAGTTCATATATCAGACTCTTTTAAAGGATTTCTATCGTATGTCTTTCAGTTTGATCAGATTATACATGTAGTAATATTGATAATTATAGAAAGCCAGTCTCGCTTTTCTGACTATTTTGTTTGAAGAAAAATTACAGAATTTCTGCCACGTACTTATAAACTGCACTTTTAACACAGACCCAACTGTTGTGATGCGCACTTCATGCAAATACATGCGACAACCCTTCTCCAAAATACTAAGACATAACCACTGAACACAGAGTGGAAGAGATGGCTTAACGGTTAAACAATTGGCTCGTCACGCAGAAGACCCTCCGACGACCCACAGGGGAACAATGAGTGAGTGAGTTTAGTTTTACGCCACACTCAGCAATAGTCCAGCTATATGGCGGTGATCTGTAAATAATCAAATCGGGGCAAGACAATCCAATGATCAACAGCATAAACTTCGATCTACGCAATTGGGATACGATGACATGTGTCAACCAATTCAGAGAGCCTGACCACCCGATCCCGGTAGTAGCCTCTTACGACAAGCATGGGTTGCTGAAGACCAATTCTAACCCGGACCTTCACGGGTCCAGGGGAACAATGAGGGTAGCACATTTCCCATGTTCCCCCTTCATGATCTTGGGGCGAACAACCATATTCACTCACTCACTTAAAAGCAAGCTATTTCGCTTACATATTAAACTAGAGTGATCAGTTAGTTAGTTGACAGGTTTGTGTCAAAGGATAATTTAAATAGAAAAAACACAAATCCGATCATCAAATATTTGTTTTTATACTTTGGAGAATCATTTCAGACAGGTTTGCTGTCGACCCTAGATATCTCCAAGAACTCCACATCTGTTGTTTAGTCCATGAACGTGACATTGACGGCAATTAAGACACCAACAGTTCAGTAGCTTTTTTATGTTTTTTCGGAAAATCGATATATATATATATACGTGCATACATGTATTTCAGTTCATCTCTGTTCATCTTTCCAACATATTAACCAGTTCGTGTGCGGTAAGAAAGTATATTCAGAATTCTACCCAAATCAATGAAGTTTACGAGACAAGATATATCTGGGGTTTCATGAGGTTATCTCGGTCATAACATACTTCTCCTATCCACTGACATAGATGTTCACTATGGCTTTGTCTATCTTTCAAATCCAAACATTAGCAAAGGTGTTTCCAAATACAATAAAACAATTATTTAAATTACACTAAATCTATGTACATTTTCCAGAACTCAAATCTACAAATTTAATTTTCTCCTAATTTGTAATAGTGGTTTATTCAGCAAGAGACGTAGGCCATCGGCCCATGACACAGCAGTTGTGCAGCAGCCACAATACATATTGCCTACATTAACATATGTTTTCTTTGTTGCATAGAATTCTCAACATACATAGCCAACTTTCTTATAAGATCACTGTTCTCACTTGACATTAAAAGATTAATTTTAGCTAATGTTGGAATAAACTGTTCACGTAGATCGACATAAGCATGGCATACTAACAAGAAATAGTACTCATCTTCGACATAGTTCATTTTACAAACATCACAAAATCCTTTA